CAGGGTTTAAACAGCTCTGGCTCCCTGGTGTGCAGCTGTCGATAACGGACCGGAACGTCCTAGAGGCAGAGGGACAGGTCAGAGGCTGCAGAGGCAGGTCAGAACTGAGGAGTTGATGAAGGACTAACCTGGTAATGAGAGGAGCCAGAGCGCTGAGAGTAAGACTGACACAGGCAGGAGGCTTCGGGGACTAAGATGTCGGCTTGTTTGTGTGGGCAGACCGTTGACCGGTCGACAACGTGTGCTGGCTTTCCAGCGGCTTTAGTCCAGAGGCAGTCCAGGTTCGGTAACGGGGTCCAATAAAGCAGCAGAGGTACAGGAGGGGTAATCCAGTAAATGTGTCCGATTCCAGTTCCAGGTCTAATTTCCTTATAACCACAGAGAGTAAAGGGGGCAGGCAGGCTCAGGTACTCAGAAAAGGGTTCAGAAGCACAGGTGGTCAATCTGGAATCCAGTTTCAGGACTCAGACAGGCAGACAAATCCAGAGAGGGATCAGAATCAGGGGACAAAGACAGGTTGGTAGACAGGCAGGCAGGCAGGTTCACCATGTTAAAGCCTGGAAGTTTCTTACCAGGCTGGCTTGAAACGATCTGGAACTGGAGACAGATCAGGATGGAGCTTATATGCAGGTGGCGACAGGTGAAACAGGTAGAGGTTAACAGCAAGGAGGGTGGAGACTGAAGCAGAGTGAAGCAGAATCAGCTCCAGTGCCAGGACCTACGTGTAGAAATGGATGTTTTTGCAGAGAAGCAACATAAGGCTTAGCGTGTTTTTACAGGAACATCTTAGTTTACTAGTGAGCAGACTTTGTTTACAGAATATTCTACCATTATACTGCTTTATTGTTTATAGATAATGCAACTATAAAAAGTTAATCTCATCTTCTGTTTTATCCGGGTCAGAGTTGCGGGGGCAGCAGAGACTCCCAGACTTCCCCTTTGCAGACACCTCCCCCACCTCCCCCTCAGAGGGAGGCGTCCAGGGAGCACCCGATAAAAAAGTCTGATCCTCCTCAGCTGCTGGAGAAGCAGCTTTACTCCGAGCTTCTCCTGACTGACCGAGCTCCCCACCCTCTCTCTAAGCGAGAGCCCAGCCACTCTTTGGACGATCAAATTGTGCTGAGGAGAAAAATGTGGTTATTGGAACCTACAGACATAACTGAGCAGTTGCACACATACGTTTCTGTCGGACTCTGATTCCAGCTAGGATTTTAGGAAAGCTTGCAAAGCAATATCAGTGTTGATCTGTGACCAACAACCATGAGACCTGGAAAGTTTTTCCATTGATATCCAGGCCATTTCATTGTTTTCAAGGTTTCCATTGGAAGAAAAGGCCTTAATTCTACAGCAAGCAGTTTGAATGCTGAACAAACACAGTTCAAATATGGAATTGGATGAAACAACTTCTGGCAAATAGACAAGACATAGTCAGGGAGAACATGCAGAAAGACCCCGGGCCGGGAATCGAACCCAGAACCTTCTTGCTGGAAGGCAAAGCCCTAATTATTTTGTTAAATGATGAACTCATTATCCATCCATCCATCCATCCATCCATCCATCCATCCAAACACATCCTATCACTATGATTAAAACCTGTGGAACTACAGGTTCTGCATTGAACCAACTTTGTCATAATTTAAAAACGAATATTGAAACAGACAGTGAGTGAGTTTGGTTTTACAAAATAGATGTAATTAAAAAAACCCTGCTGAGTTGTGTTTGATTTGATTTTTACTATAACTAGACTTTAATTTTAATGATGTTTGGAAATTAGTGCATGAATATAATTGACATATATCCCATATTTCCATCTTTTGGCCATCTATTGTCTTCATCCAAGAATGAGTCATGGACTGAACTGGTCTGGAAGGAAATACTTGAATATCTTACCAGCCTTTCCAGGAGATTTGAAGGTTTTCTCAAGCCTGAAAGGATTTTTTCTCCCCTTCCTCTTTCTAACTTACCGTAAGAGAATCTTACTTTGCCTGCATCAACGCTGAAGCCTAGTGGCTAGAGCAGAGCGCTGGGGCTCTGAGAAGGTTGCAGGTACCAAGTTCAATCCCCCCAGCCTCCACTCAGGGTCCCTGAGCAAGACCCTAAACCCCACACTGCTCCCTGGGCACCGCACAATGGCAGAACACTGCTCCCCGAGGAGGTGGGCTACATGCAGAGAGGGAATTACAGTGTGAGATCAATAAAGGGATTTACATAGAAGTTAACCCACTTGAGTTTGCAGCAGTACTTGTTCAGAGTTATGACTAAACCTTGTTGTTATGTCTGCTGCACATGCTAACAATAGGGACAACAGGCTTTCCTCTAAGGGGAATGAATTCCATTAAATTCATTTCACTTCTGTTGCTACAGTTCACAGCCTTTTCAAATGTGTTGCCTTTAAACTGGCTGTTTGCTGTATGAAAGCTAACAAGTTTGCCTCTGAATGTCCCCTGAATCAACAGAAGGCTTATATTTGGTCTCTCATGTCCCCCAGTCAGCCGCCTTGAGCTCTTGATATTTCTTTTAATTGCACCAAGAGTGCATGTGGGGGGTGTATTAAGGTGGCGGATCACTTTCGGCTCTCTGTCAGCTTTGCTTCCCTTGGGCATCAGTGTTTTCCTCCCAGCTCCACCGGGCTAGAACAACAGTAACAACCGCAGTTGTAATCGTTTTGGGATGGGCTGCTTCTGTTCGATGTGTGTTTATGGAGGGTTGAGCTACTTGTGTCTAAGTGTGCCGCTATGCATGAGTGTGTGCATGGATTTGTCTCCGTTTGTGTGGTTTTGTTCTGCGTTTGCTGCTTTCGGAGCAGGGCTTGTTCATTAGGTCTGTGGGGAGATGAGCTTTCTGCTGACTTTGTTGGGTTCAGAGCCAGAAGCTCTAACTGATCTATAGTGTCCCCCACCAACCCCCCCACCCACCTACCCCAATGGCTGCCTGCAGAGGAAGGATGTGTAACACATGGATTACACATAAAGCTTCTCTACTTTTATGTTCATTTGAATTCAGAAGGGCAACACTTTAGTTTTTACCCCTTTTCCTGAGGTAATATCTGCAAAACTAGTGATAAGTGATAAAGATATGGTACCAATTATATTTACTAGAAGTTTTCAGTATTACAAGCTTCATTATATTCTTTATGCATTCAATGCCCCTAAATTAAATCTAGTGCAACCAACTGCCTTAAGAAGCCACTAGCTTTTTAAAAACCGACATCCAGTGTAATACTGAATCCCACTAACAGGGCTCAGTGAACAAAGAGCCTCATGAAGACCAAGCACTAGCATAAAGGTCACACCTGGTTGTCACAAGGGTCTTGGTAACTCTGGAGGAGCTGTAAAGATGCGCTGCTCACTTTGAATGAGAAACTGTTTACAAATCTAAGTCCAATACAAACTCAGTAGGAAGATTTTAAAAATGTTTCCCAGTTTATCTCCAGTCATAATGACCAACCTTGGTGCATTAAAATAAAAAAATTAATCAGTTTCAGTTTATTTCTATAGCTCCAATTCACATCATTTAATCTCAGGTCACTTTCCAGTTCACCAGATCATCCAGTCAGATTGATTCAAAGTTTTCTATCTAAGGAAAACCAGCTGATTGCATCGACTCATTGACTCTTCAGCAATCCCTCACACTAAGCATGCTTGTAGCGACAGTGGAGAGGAAAAACTTCCTTTGAACAGGAAGAAACCTCCAGCAGAACCAGGCTCAGTGTGAGCGGCCATCTGCTGAGGCCCACTGGGGTTCAAGGAGACAGAAGCAGACATAGAAAAAGAAGCATAGATACAAAAGGCAACCAGCTCCACAGGCGGCCCCGTCCAGGAAACACACAGCCAGGCAGACGAGCTCCGAGCCAGCTCCCATGTCAGAGGATGAAGAGAGCACATCCAGTTAGTCACAGTCAGAGAAACAGGACTACACTGGAAAACAGGCCAAGCTCCAACATCTAGAAACAAAGGTGTTGATGGCAGCAGCACAGCTGATATTTCTCTCCAGGATGGAGTCACAGCCAAACAGGAACAGACCAGATGAAGCTACTATGAGAAAAAGCAGAGAGAGCAGAACGTTAGAGATTGAACTAACAGATTCTGCAGAGTGGGAGAATAGAGATAGAATGAAGCAGAATGATGAAAAAGGGGTCCCTATGTCCTCCAGCAGTCTAAGCCTATAGCAGCAGAACTATAGAGATAGCTCAGGATAACCTGAGCCACTCTAACTAGAAGCTTTATCAAAAAGGAAAGTTTTAAGCCTAGCCTTAAAAGTAGACAGGGTGTCTGCCTCACGGACTAAAACTGGTAGTTGGTTCCACAGGAGAGGAGCCTGAGAACTAAAAGATCTGCCTCCCATTCTACTTTTAGAAATTCTAGGAACCACTAGTAAACCTGCAGATTGAGAGCGAAGTGCTCTGTTAGGAACATAAGGAACAATCAGATCTCTGATATCAGATGGAGCTTGGCCATTTAAGGCTTTATATGTGAGAAGGAGGAAATCAGTCTTTTGATTTCCAATTTAATTTCCTTAATAGCTGCATGTTTGAAAATGTTTTGTCTAATGGTGAGAAAATATAAATCTATTCCATCATTTCATTTGAAATCAGCTTCCCTTCAGTAAAATTATGAATTTTACTTTAATATATTTGCTCATAATCAGAGAGAAGATGCTTTTCTAGTCTTGGTGATTTTTAAATGGATGTCAGTAAAACATGGAAAAGACATCTGCTTTCAGGCTGCGGTTTATCTCTGGATGCAATTAATTAAATGTTGTCTGGCGTAGAAAACTCTTCCCATACTTCAATACTTCAATGCCCTTTGTTGGACCATTCAGTCTACAATATGATTGTTGTTTTTTTATTTTTCCCTTTTAGTCCCTTAGCAGGCAGCCCCCTGAACCCCTCATCAGAACAAAGGTTTCCTCATTCCTGTCAACACTTTATACACAGTAAAGGCAGACATGCAGACACAGAGCAGAATCTCCTAATGTGCATCTATGTTATCCATCCTCAGGTCTGGACGACTGCCTCCAGCAGTATGTGAAGAGCTTTGAGCGGGAGCAGATAGGAGGAGAGCAGCTGTTGCACATCACCCACCAGGAGCTGGAAGAGCTCGGAGTCACCAGGATAGGACACCAGGAACTTATCCTGGAAGCTGTGGACCTCCTCTGTGCCCTGGTTAGTGTCTCTACTAGGCTGTTATACAGAATCTGCTGATGAAAAATGTGAAATGTTTGATTGGTAGAAGAAATCATGAAGATAATCATCAGTAGGATGTTGCTTGAGAATATGGTGGATTACAGGTGCTGGTCATAAAATTAGAATATCATGAAAAAGTAGATTGATTTCAGTAATTCCATTTAAAAAGTGAAACTTGTATATTATATTCATACATTACATACAAACTCATATATTTCAGATGTTTATTTTGTTTAATTTTGATGATTACAAATGACAACAAATGAAAATCTCAAATTCATCATATCAGAAAATTAGAATATTGTGAAAAGGTTCAAAATTGATGGCCCCTGGTGCCACACTCTAATCAGCTAATTAACTCAAACCACCTGCAAAAGCCTTTAAATGGTCTTTCAGTCTAGTTCTATAGGCTACACAATCATGGGGAAGACTGCTGACTTGACAGTTGTCCAAAAGACGACCATCGACACCTTGCACAAGGAGGGCAAGACACAAAAGGTCATCGCTAAAGAGGCTGGCTGTTCACAGAGCTCAGTGTCCAAGCACATTAATAGAGAGGCGAAGGGAAGGAAAAGATGTGGTCGAAAAAAGTGTACAAGCAAGAGAGATAACCGCACCCTGGAGAGGATTGTGAAACAAAACCCCTTCAAAAATGTGGGGGAGATTCACAAAGAGTGGACTGCAGCTGGAGTGAGTGCTTCAAGAACCACCACACACAGACGTATGAAAGACATGGGTTTCTGCTGTCGCATTCCTTGTGTCAAGCCACTCTTGAACCACAGACAGCGTCAGAAGCGTCTTGCCTGGGCTAAAGAGAAACAGGACTGGACTGCTGGTGAGCGGTCCAAAGTCATGTTCTCTGATGAAAGTAAATTTTGCATTTCCTTTGGAAATCAAGGTCCCAGAGTCTGGAGGAAAAGAAGAGAGGCACTTCATCCACGTTGCTTGAAGTCCAGTGTAAAGTTTCCACAGTCAGTGATGGTTTGGGGTGCCATGTCATCTGCTGGTGTTGGTCCATTGTGTTTTCTGAGGTCCAGGGTCAACGCAGCCACATACCAGGAAGTTTTAGAGCACTTCATGCTTCCTGCAGCTGATCAACTTTTTGGAGATGCAGATTTCATTTTCCAACAGGACTTGGCACCTGCACACAGTGCCAAAGCTACCAGTACCTGGTTGAAGGACCATGGTATCCCTGTTCTTAATTGGCCAGCAAACTCTCCTGACCTTAACCCCATAGAAAATCTATGGGGTATTGTGAAGAAGAAGATGCAATACACCAGACCCAACAATTCAGAAGAGCTAAAAGCCACTATTAGAGCAACCTGGGCTATCATAACACCTGAGCAGTGCCACAGACTGATCGACTCCATGCCACGCCGCATTGCTGCAGTAATACAGGCCAAAGGAGGCCCAACTAAATACTGAGTGCTGTACATGCTCATACTTTTCATGTTCATACTTTTCAGTTGGCCAACATTTCTATAAATCCTTTGTTTTTATTGGTCTTCAGTAATATTCTAATTTTCTGATATGATGAATTTGAGATTTTCATTTGTTGTCATTTGTAATCATCAAAATTAAACAAAATAAACATCTGAAATATATGAGTTTGTATGTAATGTATGAATATAATATACAAGTTTCACTTTTTAAATGGAATTACTGAAATCAATCTACTTTTTCATGATATTCTAATTTTATGACCAGCACCTGTATTTTGCAGTCATGTCTGTGGACTGGATAGTACAAAATTAGCTGGACAATAGTATCCTTTATCACTAAGACTATTTAATAAACTAACAAAATCAGTCTAATAAGTTTCCTCCTTGAAAATTCCGGATTAGTATATTTCTATTGTACTATTTGACCTTAGGGTGAATCTAAGCATTAATGATTATCTTCATCATTAGCTTCATCATTGCTAATTATGAACAGGCTGAAAAGAAGTGATTTAGGACAGCTGAGTTGGCTCAGTTAACAGGCTAATAAATGAAACTGAAAGAGTATTGTGCCTTTTTGGCTCTAAAATCTATTAAATCTCTTATGGTGTTTATTTAAGCTTAATTCAGTTCAGTTCAGCACATGTTATTTCTGGGCACCTACAGAGACGACTCAGTCAGAGTGTGCAGCCGGATCAGGCTGGGACTGGTAATCTGTAATACCGGGCCTTTCCCCGGTGGGCCGGTCCTAATCTCAGCGTGCGAGGGCCGGTCCTCCTTAAATCATAGCGGCTCCAACTCTTCCTCTCCTGCTGAAGCTCCAGCCTGTGACAGTAAATACCTGAAGGAGCTGAAGCAGTAATCCAATGTTAACTCCCTAACTGATGCGTGCAGTATATACAGACCTTCCTTCTCATGCACATCCTGGAGACGGTTGGCATATGGTGTCATTTTCTATTTCTTTAAACCGTAAAATGCTTGAAACAAACTAAATTACAATAAAACTAAAATGCTTTCTTTAAACCAAACTACGATGTTCCTCTCATATTTGGTTTAATTTATGTTTGAATATTTTGCAGAACTCTGTTGCGGTGCATGATGGGGTTTAGCATCTAAATGATGAAACGTTTCCCGTCTTATGTTCATTGTTGCCAGGTTGGGATGTTTCTCAATCTGGCAGTTTAGGATGGCTAAACTGAACTAACAAAGCTGAGAATTACAAAATAAAGATAGAACAAAACAGAATGAAAACAAGAGGTCCCTATGTCCTCCAGCAGCATTGTCATGATGGGTTCTCTAATGGAGACCCAGTTATGCAGAACACCACTGACGGACACAAGGATGAAAAGTTTAAACAGTTTATTTGCACAACACACAGAATGTACTGATTCCTGGTTCGGGCCTGGATTCTGGTTTCACTGGGGTCTGCGTGAGAGACAGCTCAGTTATTGATTGCTGACTGGGTTTGATTTCCAAAGGTGCACTGATTGTATCTTGAGGGTTCTTGAGGTTCTCCTTGGGAGAGTCACTGTTGGTTCTGGAGAAGAGTTTATCAGCAGAGTCCGTTTGCTGCTTCAGCGTCTCACGTCTAGCTTGAACAGACCTTGGCTTAGGTTTCCCAGCTCTAGTCCTGAGCTGCTTGGAGGTTCTCTGAGAATCTTCAGGGTTTGGCTCTGAGAGTCGGCTTGGCAGGTTAGCTCTTCTTGAGCTTTCACAGAGGAGGCAAGGGTTTCCTGGAAACACAGAGACAGTGGTTAGAATCCAACCTGGATTCGAAGTCATGGAGATTCAACAAAGATCTAGGCTTTAGCGCTGACCAACTGGAACAACACTGCGGCGTTGAGGCAAGGTCTGAAGACAGCTTATATAGTGGATCCTCTGATGATCTAGATGAGCTGCAGCTGTGCAGGAGGCTCCCTCAGAGGATCCACGGCGGACTCTGCTGGAGAAAGATGGGATTTTCTCCAGCTCCCAACAGTACCCCTCCCCCCTCAACGACCGCCCCTTGGCGGTCCGGAAGAGGTAGATGGGCAGGAACGCTCGTACTCCTCGATGAGCGCAGGGTCGAGGATGTACGAGCCTGGGACCCATTGACGATCCTCCGGTCCGTAGCCCTCCCAGTCGACGAGGTACTGCCATCCGCGACCTCGTCGACGGGAGTCTACAATGCGGCGCACTGTGAAGGCCGGATGGCCATCGACCTCCAGGGCGGGTGGTGGGGAGTCGGACGGTGGGCACAGAGGACTCGAAGAAACAGGCTTGATCTGGGAGACGTGGAAGGTAGGGTGGATTCGGAGGGACTGAGGTAAATGGAGACGAACAGCTGAGGGGTTGATGACTCGTGAGATCTTGAAGGGTCCAATGAATCTCGGGGAGAGTTTTCGAGACATCCCCTTGAGGGGGATGTCTCGAGTGGAGAGCCACACTTCCTGGCCTTCAGAATACTCGGGGGCGGGACGTCTCTTGGCGTCGGCGAAACGTTTAACTGACACAGATGACTGGTTGAGTGTGGCGATGGTCTCCCTCCAAATCCTCTGACAGCGACGGATGTGTTGATTAACGGACAGCACCGATATCTCTCTCTCATCTCCAGGGAAAAGAGGTGGTTGATATCCGAGACTGACCTGGAATGGGGACTGTCCAGTGGATGCGGAACGGAGAGAGTTGTGGGCATATTCTATCCACGGGAGGTATTGACTCTAATCCACGGGGTTATTAGAAGTTAGACAGCGGAGGGTGGATTCCAGCTGTTGGTTCATGCGTTCGGTCTGGCCATTCGATTGAGGATGGTAACCTGAAGTGAGAGATGGTTTGCAGCCGAGAGCAGAACAGAAAGCCTTCCATACCTGTGAGATGAATTGGGGACCTCTGTCCGAGAGGATATCCTGGGGAATGCCATGAAGCCGGAAAACATGTTTAATAAGCAGCTGAGCTGTCTGGAAGGCCGTGGGAAGTTTCCTGAGGGGCACTAGATGGCAGGATTTCGAGAAACGATCAACAATGGTTAGTATGGTGGACATACCTCGAGAGACAGGGAGACCGGTGACGAAATCAATGGCGATATGGGACCATGGACGCGAGGGAACAGGAAGTGGTTGAAGCAGGCCAGAAGGAGGTTGGTGTGAGGCTTTGTTACGGGCACATGTAGGGCAAGCCAACACATACTCCTTTACGTCCCTGTGGAGAGTGGGCCACCAGAAGCGCCTGGAGATGAGAGCAACTGTTCTACTCACTCCAGGATGAGCGGAGAATTTGGCGGCATGCATCCACTGGATAAGACGGGACCTGACAGAAGATGGGACATATGTACGGTTAGGCGGGCCAGTACCTGGATCTGGTTCAGAGGCTAGGGCTGAGTTGATTATGTCCGTTATCTCCCAGGTGACCACTCCTACGGTACATGAAGCCGGGACGACAGGTTCAGGTGTCTCTGGATGATCGACGGAGTAGAGAGGAGAGAGAGAATCGGGCTTCACGTTCTTGGATCCGGGTCTGTAGGAAATGATTAGGTTGAAACGTGAGAAGAAGATTGACCACCTG